CCGGTTTTCAGGAGAATGGAGTCCCTCAACTGGTTGCATCATTACGTTTGGTGTAAAGATATAGTCTTACTCTATGCATGCTGCATATACAGTACGGTATAACGGTGTATGTGAAAGAAAAGGGAGTAACGTCCAGGTGGTGATCGTTTTACTGGAAGACCAGCAATCCCTGCCAATCGACAATCAGTTGCGCTCTCTGAAAAGTATTAATGCTTCGAAATATGACAGATAGGGTACAGTGTGTGATGATATACAGTACATCGTGGAGTTTTTCCTCTGTTGATCTGGACATTTGATTTTTTTTTTTTAACTAACCAATTTGCCTCTAAGCTGCAGTTCTCAGCCACATCTCAGCGATGTATATTTGTGAAGCCATGACAATAAGTTTCAAAACTTAAAAGCTACAAACTCTCTCTGACATCAAACAATGGCACACATGAATATGATATAATGGTGTGGGTGCAGCCAGCTGTTAGCTGCATTAACAGTCAATTTCAGAAAGTAAAAAACATCAGAGAAAAGGAAAATAAGAAGCTAAACACAGCCCATTAAAAATAGGAACAAATATTATGCATCTATTAAATTGATGCTTTATGTGTTTGCAGTCGGCTTAATTGCACAAGCTGCTTGTGTAAAAGGTAGCCATGTGTCATTTCTGAGGTGAATCCATCATTATTACGCTACTGCTGGATATATTTTCATGACCAATAAATGATATGCATAACTTGAAGTACTTCTTTTCATATTGCTCAGTTAATGAATGAGCCACGTACAAACACACAAGCGTTAAACGGTAACTGACAAATGTTTATCGTGTGATTCCCCAAAACTCCTCAAGTCTGTACTTGAGTGCTTGAGTTTAACAAACTTGGTTACATCCCACCGTGCTGATGTTCGTCTTTATGGAAGTTGATTCATTTACAACCAGATACGAGAGAAAGGGAAAAACACAAGACCAATGCAGCAGCTTAAAGTAGAAGAAATGTGCATCACAAGTTCACAGAAGAGCTGGAATATTATGTGGGAAAGGCTGCATGATGGAGAATATTCTGGAAGGTCCAAGTACAAGAGGTCAACCTCAGCCCAATGTCACGTTGCAGAACACAATTCACCCGGCTGTAAAAAGTGGGGATGGCATGTTAAATGTGTAGAGAAGTGTTTTGTTTTTTTCTAACTGCATTGCTGCACTTCAGCACACTGACCTCTCGTGTGAGAGTGAGAAAGAGACAGTAAAAAAAGAGAGAGAGAGAGAGAGAGAGAGAGAGCGAGAGAGAGAGAGATAGTGGGTGTCTTTTATAGGATGTTGGCCAATAAGATGTTTTATGTATCTATGAGGCTCCAAGGCCATGTTGGCTTTTCACGGTTTAGAAACACCATGAACAGAATTAGAGGATAATGTCGCTGCAACGCACGAGCGGCTGGGAATCGTCCATTAAGATGACTACATGACTTGAGCACTTCGGGCTTTCAATTCCGACAAAGTGCGAATGGGCAAAAAGCTTTCGATGCGGGCACTTAACTTCGATCCCACACAATGCAGCCTGTTTCACACACCACCGTGTGCTGTGTTTTTCTTAAAGGACAATTTAAGAAGCAGCACCTTTGCTGCCTCACATCTACTGTCTCTTTCAATTATCTGCAGGGAGTAATGTCACTCCATCAACTTTGTGCTATCGATTTCAGTGAATCATGTCAAACATTTGGGCGGATACCCTTTTTCTGGAACGTCCCAAACTTTTATCATAGTATTTTTAAGACCACCTTTTTTGACATTGTCAGGTTGGCACAAAAGTATATTCATGAACCCAAATGACATGTCTGTGCAAAATCTGAATAGATAAAAGGAATCAAAGTCACGAATCAACATTAATTAATTAACATAAAATGTATAAATATCATAATCTGATAAAACACCCCCAACTTCCTCATTTCCTACGACAATGTGTGGTATTGTTTGTCTAACCAGGTTTTAATGTCCAAATTTAACTGTATAACAACTCATAATGATTTACATAATGATGACCTCATCATCTTTGACACTGGCAAGATGTCACTCTTTGTGAGCAAAATACGCTGCGTGAGCTATACAGAGACTCCTGTAAGTTCAACTGGAACCCTTTTAGGGGACGACTAACTCTACAAGACACACTGTGCGGCATGACGTTTTTCCCATACGCACGTGTGTGCTGACAAATAGCTACCACAGGGAAAATACCGAATAGGAAAAAAAAGCAAGATGGAGTATGTGTTTGATTAGCAGTATAAATGGCAGCTTTGTTATATTTCAGCCAGACCAGTACACCTCATTCTATAATATGCTTTTCTGTGATAGTTAGTTTATGTTAAATCACATAAAAACACCAAAACTAACAATGAATGTATTTAACACAAATCATCGTATAGTCAAAGCCTGATTTATCTTATTCCTCTGTGCCAGAGAGCTAAAAACACATTCATAGGCCACATCCCTTCATTTTGGCGACATGTTCCTTTATCGTGATGAACATAGGCACTGTGGTTTATTCCACATGCAGTGTCTTGATGCCCAAAATGACCTGCTAGTGAACTGAATCTGCTACAAATGGTCCTCAACAGATGCTCCCGTTTGAGTAAAGTTGGCTGAAAGCTACAGAGCCCACCTGTTTTGGGAAATTCCTTTTAAGAAAGTAAAAATGCATATATTTAAAGATTTATGTCTTTGGCAGGAACAAATGGGGCTGGGATTGAGTGCCACAGACCTGAACGTATTTAGACTGACCCTAAACTGTTGGTTTTGGTCTTTTCAAGGTTTTTGTTGATGATGATAAAAATACAGAATATAATACCAGCAATATATATTTATAAAAAAATTATAAAACTATATTTAGGAACATTTACCATGTAAGCACAACATACACTATTAACACATAATTAAGGTTTTGAAACGAGTGTCACTACTTGTGTCAGCGGGCCCCTCTATCACACAGGGCTACGAGATTCCATAATAATGCAGGACCCAGTTTTACTTTGAATGGATGCAAATTTCCTAAAAGATTTACAATTGATCGAATACAAAAATGACAACGACAACAACTCAAAACAACATACACACAGTAAGCCAGGGGCCTTTTGGGGCTCAAGGGGGTAAGGGGCAAGTTAGTCATTGCAGCCTTAGATTCGCTTTTTAAACCGTATCTGTATCTCCTTACACAAATACTGAAATGACTCACATCATGTTTCACCATGCACTGGAGTCGTCTCAATGCCAGCCTACGAATAACGACTTTGAACGAGTACACGATAATCTTCTTTTACAGTTCGGACCATTCACAATGTAAGATAATAAACTACTTCAAATAAAGGGATTACATTTTCAAACAAAGCTTTTTTTATATTTCATTTTAGACTCCTCAGCAGTAAAAGTGGAGGCCGCGACCATAAACCCAACGCAGGGGAGTTCATTGACCTGGAGGTGAGCTACGAGCTCACGCTGGTGAGCAGTCAGCGTTTTACTCACTGCTAGGGAACTCCATAAACGCCTGTTCACGCGGGTTATTGCCCTCTCCCTCGTAGCCCATTGTAGTCATCATATTCAGCAGCAATCGCACTCTTGTGTCATCGCATGCAGAGGAGGGGAGGTGGCGAGAGGTGTGCGGTATATATACAGGGAAGAGCCTCGGTCCCAGACACCTTGCTTTTCCCTCAGCTTGCCTCAGCATCTCTGCTCTCGCTCCTCCGCACGCCTCCAACACCGCAACAAAGAATGGCCTTTGCCGGAAAATGGGAAACAGAGAACCAGGAGGGGTACGAGGCTTTCTGCAAGCTGCTGGGTGAGACAGACCGAATCTGGAACTCTTGCCTTTCACGTCACTATTTCTGTCCTCTGTGATTGTCTAGACTGACATTCGCTTTTACAAACTCACACTACTCTTGTTTTCCCGCACTCTAGGTATCCCCGATGAGATCATTGAGAAGGGCCGTGACTACAAGCTGATCACAGAGGTCACACAGGACGGGGATAACTTTTCCTGGACTCAGATTTACCCCACCAACGCCTCGGTCACCAACAAGTTCACCATCGACAAGGAGTGCGACATGGAGACCATCGGAGGAAAGAAATTCAAGGTACAGGAGGCAGAAGATCCAGAGTTTCTTCTTAAACCCTACTCAATCTTAAATTTCCACCTGTGCGAGGCACATATAGGGAAGGAATAATGAACGTACCCTGGTTCCATGACTGATTCTAACCTTTGTGTTTTCAGGCCACCGTGCACATGGAGGCAGGCAAGCTGAGCGTGGCCTTCCCCAAGTACCACCACACCTCTGAGATCAGCGGCGGCAAGCTCATCGAGGTATACACGCACTTGGGCTTTGAGCTCTGACAAGCTAGCGCGGTGACAACAGCTATTACACTCAACACCCCGCAGGGATCATTAGAGTCATTAATGTTATACTCCTGCAGTCGGGGGGGTCAGTATTTGACAACGAGAAAGAAAACGCCCCGAACACGGATGCTGTGCATCTTAACAAGCAGTTCTGTCTCACATTTAACCTTTAAAACCAGCGTCAGCGCGAGATAACTCACTACAATCTTTCCAAGTGCTACTTATGTGCATCTCCGTGTGTTTCCACCGCAATTTCATGCTTTTGAGAGGTTTTCAAGAATTAATTTTTCAATTCTTAGAAAGGGAGGAAAACTTAGAAGCTGAAATGCATACAGTTATTACCAGAGAAAGTATTCTGGAAGCAATTCATATGCTGTTTACATTTGTACAAGCAAAACAATCTCTTTTGATTTTATATGAATTTGAAGTACAACAAGACACATATATAACATACTCCTTGTTTTAATAAAGTACCACTTCTTCTGTCTCTCTCTAGACCTCCAAATCCGGCTCCGTAGTGCTGAAGAGAACCAGCAAGAAGATCTAACCTTTGACCTCTTGAACAGTTACAACGGAGACCTCAGCTACTACTGCAACGAATAAACAATAAATACAAAAATATCATACAAACATGAACCGGTGTCTCCGTCTACACTTTCTAGTGTTTCTGTGTGTCCTATTGAAGTTCCATACTTGTAAGGATAATAATCCTTATTCACAAATTTGAGACAGCAATGGCCATTTATTAATGATTGGATACAAGCATCATTTATAATCATAAGCCAGCAGGTAATGTCGCCTGGAGTTTAGTTATTTCTTTATGTCATAACCACTTTCAAATAGTGTTTTGAGATTTAATTTCCACATTTATTCAGGTTACTCTCATCTGTTGGATGGGGTGACTGCTCTACATTATTTACCTAGTGATCAATTTTGTGTATTTGGCTCCATATTGTCACCGTGGTAACTGGAGGTCAGTCAGAGTTGATAGGTGTCGCGACTCAGTTAGTGGAAATGCATGATTTTTGCTTTAATTTGATTAATTAATCAATTTAAGAACGCTTTACACTCACAGACCACAAACGTGAACAATAGACTGCTTGTCACAGCCGCAGTAATGACACAGTCCAGAAAACACGAATGACGTGGGAGTGAGACAGCATGTGTGCACACAATAGTGAGAGATGTTTCATTACAGCAGGTGCACAGCGATGCTCAGTTAACCTGCATTGGACACATTGGTGTGAGACACTGTTTGTCACTGTAAAGTTTAAACAGAGACTTCAGCCTGCGGCGCACTTCATTCACTTCACCGATACCTTAATGTGTTCTTGCGATTGAAAAGCTCCGACCTGCTGCGAGACGCAGAACTTTGCAGGAGGCGTGACGGCCACTTCACACAGGCTACCTGTTCTCCCTCCCCACTTCAAACACCCTCGGCGTCCCATAGTGGGCCCATTAGTTTTTTGGAGTGCGGTTTTGAGGCTTCAAGTTCGGCCATCTTGGATTTTGGTCATCGACATCTTGGTTTTTTGCAACCAGTGAACAGAAGTGACCAAAATTGGACTGCGGAGGAGGGACTTTTCAGAACAGGAGGTTGGCGCCTGATACCGACGCACAAAGTTTCAACACTTAAGTGTCTGTATGAGACGCACCGAGCTTTTCAACTAACTAAACTAGTAAACCCATCCCCATCATTATGAGATGGTCAGAGCAACTGATGTTGTGTAAAGAGGAAGAAAGTCTGCTGAGGATGGGTGTGAGTAGATTAGTCCTTTGTTTTGTTACATAACTTCTGTATAACAAACATCCTCATCTTACATAAAAAACACACTTATCTGAAACAAAACCTTAATCCTTTCCTAAAGCTAACCAACTTTGTAAAAGCTATTTAAACCTACGTTGGAACTTTATTTTGATGAGACGGTATGCATTTGACGAACGCATGCTGCACTTTCCCTGTGAACACTGAAGTTTATTTTGAAAAGGCACTATGCATGTGACAAGTGGAAACAATCTAAAACCAAATATGACACAGGATGTCTTCCTCAATCTGAGTGCTGCTCTGCTGCAGTGCACTCAGTGCTGCCACGACTGGATGGAAGTTATATTGCAGCAATACTGGTGATTACTGAGACAGATTTTTGCCTTACTGAGAGGTTAGTGTCTGTTAACCAACCTTCTAGTCTCTCATACTCTTGACAGTCGCATCTTTCTCTTGTCTTCTCTTCTCATTTTCTTTCACACGATCCTTTTCTTTTTCTCGCCTCTGTCCTTTCCTTTCTGCCTGCCGTCTCTTCCTCTCCTGCTTCTGTACTTCCATCGTCTTCCGTCCTCTCCTCTCATGTCCCCTCCTTCTTGTCTCTCCCCACATCTACCCTATTTCTCTGTGGCTTCCAGCCAAGCAAATAATCAGTTAATTAACCAGCTCAGTCCCAGGATCATTGTAGCAGCTCTCAGAGGAGCACTGTAAAGGCTCTCGCGTCTCTAAATTTACAGCTTCATTAAGTGGACCGGAGTAAGGTACAAATCTTTTGAATAAAATTGCCAGACTAGAGCCTCGGTGCATGTGTGTGTGTGTGTGTGTGTGTGTGTGTGTGTGTGTGTGTGTGTGTGCGTGTGTGCGTGTGTGTGTGCGCGCTGGCCTTGACTTGAGAGCCGATGACTCAATAGCTCCCTAATGAAAACAAAATCTCTGTTTTTTTGCCTCTGAGGTGGCGATTGTTTTGGCGTAATAAGGAGACGTCCTCTCTTGCCGGCACCGATGCAATCAAGATGTTACACTCCTGGAAAATTAGGGTTGGAAGGCAACAAGCAAGGTGTCATTTGAGCATGTTTGTGTAGCTCGGCGCTGGTGCAATCACTCTGCAATATCACTTCCTTTGTCCTCGCAGACAAACAGGCCTAATTGGCTATTTCCAAGGCTACTGTTTCTGATTGGCCATTCTGCCTCCTTCTGATTGGTCTCCATCTCGGCAGCCACAAGTGAAGGGAGAATGGCTTGTTAGCGTCTCCATGTTGTGTTTCCCTCTCTCTCCCTCGGAGCCAAGCCACAATATGAACTTTGCATTCCCCCATAAAATACTTCTTAACTTAAAGAGGGTTTCTGTAGTTCGACCTACTTTAGCAACTTGCTAATCACAGTAAACAAAAGCAACAGGATATTTTTGACAATCTGCAGGTTTATTGATGAGGAATGACTAACAGACTAACACAAATTTACACTATTTTTTTTTATTTAAAGAACCAGTGTTCACCATAACCACCATAGTCTCTGCATGCTGGGTTTCTTCAGGATGACCATTTCCTTCCCCGACAGTCCAAAGACATGCAGTTTAGGTTAATTGGAGACTCTAAATTGCCCACAGGTGTCTGTATAACAGGAAGTGGCCGTCTGTCTGTAGCCCTGTCATAGACACGCAATCTGTCCAGGGTGAACACTGCCGCTAGTCTCCAGCCTCTGCACACCAGCGCCAGGGTAAGGGGGTACAGATAATGGATAGGTTAATGCAGGGATCACTGATAGGCGGGCCGCGATCCGAGTCTGGACCTAAAACCGATTGAGAATTGAGAATTATTACATTTTGACGGAGCGCATCTATTTTAACCGGCGCAGCTTTTCTAGCTTTTACGGCACTCGTTCAGCGGTCCAGGAAACACACCGACCAACAACATGGTCTAACATTTACACAACGTTGTAAATCACATCACCTGATGCTACTCAGCCAATCAAATACGTGTATTCTGATAAGCTTCCCGACTCAAGTGAGATTTACACACAAAGGGAGACGGGTGAGAGTAGTCGGAGGATAATATGTGAGTCAGAAGTTATTTTACACGGTGTTCTCCAAAAAGAGAAAAGTGGACAATGAGACCAGAGCCTTTAACCAAGAATGGACGGATGTCAATTCCTCCTCGACAGTTCCAAACCAGTGTGTCTAATATGTTCAGAGACCGTGGCGATTATTAAAAGTGGCAATGTGAAGCGCCACTACGAGACACAGCACAACTCTTTAAACAAAGCAAACCTACCCACTCAAATCTGAAATTCAGATAAAGAAAATAAACCTAAGAGCCCAATATGATCAGAATCCTAATGCCGTGTTCACACCAAACGCGGCGTGAATCATTCGTGCCGCGTTTGGTGTGAACGCACCATAACACATGAATTCACTGTCCAACAATGCTGTAAACAAAGGGGGGAATGAGGCTGAAACAAGTGGTTTCAATAACCACGGACACAACATCAGACCTTGCACACACATTTCTCTTATTAGAAGATGAGAAGAATATAAAATCGTGGCTTTTTTGGGTGACATCACTTCCCGCCTGAATGAACTGAATTTAAAGCTACAGGGCAAAGACGATTCAGTTCAATTCATTTTTCTAAAATAAAGTACTTTATTTTAAGATGCACATTTCTTACAAGCTTTCTGTTATGTCATTTATTCTTCAATGCAGTCATTATTTTACTGGAAATGAGAGATCATTTACTTATTATTAGATTATGTATCATTTATAATTCATCCAGTTCAATTTGAAAACTGACAATAAATATGTTTGAGATACTATTTAATTGAACTTTCTTTGTTTGATTTGACAGTCAGTTGTTGACTACATACAGAATACAACTGTTGGCTAATTCAATGTATATATGGGACTAAATCATAGCGCAAGTTAGACATTATTGTGATGTTCCGGACCTTTGCATGAGGAAATTCTCTCTCACTGGACCTCATTGAATTGTAATTGAATACCCCTGAGTTAGTTAAAGTTTTTTATTTACTCCCCCAGATTTAAAATAAAAAACGTCACCCAATAAAACCACGCCGTGGTCGATTGAGGAAGTACAGACTTTACATTGCTTTGATGCCGATTTAAGGATCCAGCGAGAGAAACAGAAGTTTGTGCAGCATTGAAGATGATGTCATGTCAGTTTCACTATGACGTCACGATGACGATGGTAATATCTGCAGTGGAGAAAAGTACTGGTTACCAAAAGCGAGTTGAGTCGAGACGTATCATGCAGTGGAAATTTGCCATAACTAGCTAGTCATGCTAAACCCGGTTCTTTGCCAAATATTGTCACTACATTGACTTTTACTCCGGCAAGGTGTGCATCTGCTGCTGCCATCATTCTGCTCTGAAGCACCCTAAAACTGGCTTTGAGTCCGCTGTGCCTGGATCCAGTGCTACCTTTACTCCTTCACAACACGTAACCTCTTCAGAGTTCCTGTTCCTCTCTGTGATCTAGCGGGGATAAGTGAGGGATGGAGACAATAATAAAAACTAGAAAGAGCGAGAGAGAGAGGAAGTACGCTGGGTAGGATAATGAAGGGGTGAACAGCACATTAGGCATTAATAACCTGGAATTACCGGTGATAACCATGGTAACACTGGCAATTTGCTGGAAGTTCTCCTGTCTCGGTGACAGGTGGTTGGTGCGACTGGATGGAGAAGGTAAACTTGTGTGTGCGCGCCGCTCGATTTAGTGTTAATTGCGTGCATTTTCAGCCTATAGCCATAACCGGTAACAAAGAACCCCCTGCTTTTCTCTCACCATGCTTCTATTATTTCATTGTTGCTGTTCTATCACAATGAACTCCACCACAAATGGGAATATCTATGTTCAAAGG